GACCTATTCCGTAATGAAGGCATCGGTCGTCGAACGATTTAATCGCACGCTCAAGAATGATATGTGGAAAATGTTTACGCGCAATGGAAATTACAAATGGATCGACTCGTTGTCGGGTCTCGTATCGGATTACAACGCGCGAAAGCATCGAACTATCGGCATGCGGCCCATCGATGTTACCCCCGCGATCGCCGACAAGCTCCTAACAACGGTGTACAGTCACGTAAAAATCGCTGCTCCCGCGCGATTCAAAGTGGGCGACTCGGTACGTGTGAGTAAATTCAAGACAATCTTCGAGAAAGGATACACGCCAAATTGGACCACGGAAGTATTTAGAATCGTTAAAGTGCAGAAAACTAATCCCGTGACGTATCTGTTGGAAGATTCCTGCGGAAAACCCGTCGCCGGCGGCTTCTACGAATACGAGTTACATCGCGTTGCTAATCCCGACGTGTATCTCGTTGAAAAAGTTTTGCGCAAAAGAGGGGATGAGGTTTATGTAAAGTGGTTAGGATTTGATAATTCACACAATTCATGGATACACAAGAATAATGTATTGTAAAAATTTATTACAGTATAAAAATATACATATATACATATGAGTTTTATTTACACATTTATTTTCCTAAATATCTAAATGTAATTACAATATATTTACAGCGGTATTGACAATATATTTACAATGGTATTTACAATATATTTACAATGGTATTTTATAATGTCCCCATGGCAGCGTTTCGGTAGAACCGGGTATAATGTATCGCTTATCATTGTACGGACTTAGAGCTATTTTTGTTTCGGACACGGTGTATACCTCGTGTTTTTTGGATCTTATGCAGGTTTGCTGTCGCGTCATTTCAATTTCGTCGCGCAGACACCGCGTGTAATCATCGAACGTTATCGACCTGGCTACGACGTTACTCTTAACACCTTTAGCTTTTTTCGTATCTTTCTTACCGTCCACTCGCAAGGCGTACATCTTTGCTCTAAGCCCGACGAATTCGGTCATTATCGCACCGTTATTTTCGTCTTTCATTAAGCCCGGAATTTTTTTATTGACGAGTGAGATACCATACGTATTATCAATCGCGTAATCGCTAGTGTCAAATCTATGAATGTGGCGCTTCATGATATCGTACACATCGTCGCACTCGATGTGATAAATGAGACTGTCAGTATCGGTGTACGTGACTTTACACTTGTCGCGATACAACGGTAACATGTACTCGTGATGAAATTCGTACAAACATGTCTTGGATATATCGAGGATGCACATACCCACATAGATTGGTTTGTCGAACTTCACCTCGAGTTTTCGCATTTCTATTGCTACTAAATTCTCCGAAAAGACGCTTCGGCTATGAAAATTTGGTTTCGCAATCATAGCCTCCGCGCCGTATCTACCTTCCCAATGAGTCACGAGTCGCACGTCAACGTGATTGCGCACATTCTCCATGGTTTTGCCAAACACGGCATTGTTCATCAATTTGTATAAATTTTTCTCGAAATCATTGTTGGCCAATGTTCTAAATTTCGTATTGAGGTCTATATAATCGCGAAGCCATGGAGATTGCGCGAATTTCAGTATACGGTGAATTTTTGATATACGGAGACCGTGACGAGTACACTGCTGCAGGTTGCGATAATGTATTACATAACGTTTCTTATCGTATAATGTTGCGAGGAGTTTGTCCTGCCGCTTGCTGGGTGGTTTATCGCGCGTCGGACAGAACGGTAGGTCAGTGTGCGCGTCGTGAAGATGTTGCGGATACTCCAAGTCGACTTCGAGAATGTAGCCTATCGAGGAATCCAACGCGACATCCATAACATTAAAATCGGTTACGTCGTCGACCCATTTAAAATCTGCGTATGGCAATGGTTGACTCATTGCCCAGCCGTATAAGTTATTTACATCAAAATACATGAGGTACGACGACGGTTTCGATGGATCGTACGACTGCATGTACTTGTTGTTGGCCAGCGCGTATCTGTTTGAACATTGACTCAAACCGCCGCGTATACCGCGTTCGATAAACATGACCATGTCAATGTCGGTGAGCAATTCGAAATTGATGTGTGTATGCTTCAACATAGCATCCCACGTAAAACCCGGTAGAGAATAATAATACGCCGGATCGAGTCCATAACTCGCGACGCAACTATCGCGAAAATTTTCAAAGATATCGGCCAACAGCAAGACATCGGTCTTGAGATATAAATCGCTGTAATCACCGAGCGTTCGAATGGAGAACCGCTGCCAGACGTCGACGGCGTGCGCGTAATCGCTCTCGGATACGGTGTCACCTGTCAATGAACTGTAAAACGAGTCGCGCGGTGGTAAACACAAGTCCTCCAATTTTTCGACGCAGTCAATGTATTCATATGGAAATACGCCTTTTCGTGTCAGCAAATTAAAATTTTCTGCGGATAATTCACAAAATTCACGTTGCAATATTCGCAGTTTATCCTTGCTGAGATAAGATGCCAATTTGTCAAGACTAGCGGTGAGAAACTTGTACGAATCGATAAATCGCAATTTGACGCACGTTTTCTTATCTTTATCTTCGGTGCTTTGAACGTTTTTTGTAAACGAAATATATTTTTCTTTTGTGATCGGGAGTAAATCTACATGTCCTTCGTATGCTGTTGCTATTTCAGTTATAATAAAATGTGCATCGTATCCCAATAAATTATGAAACACTATGGGAATGCAATGCGAATCTTTATAATTTAAGTCACAATTCGAATGCGCGGGACCTCTGTATCGACCGGTCAGGTGACAATGGTCGCGTACTCGCACGTCGTCTGGCTCGAACGGTTCTTTACACACGTGACAGTGCGTTGCGCTGTTAAACTTTTCCCACTCGTCTCGCGTGAAATCTGCCATGGGTATATTAGTGGACAATATAGTTTTTACGTCGTGAGCTAAACGTCTTAGCTCCTCGGTGAACCACGCGACGCAATCCTTATCGCGACGAAACCGATACATAGATAACGACTCGTCGTACGAGCAACGCACGTAGTACCCTATGCTAAACACGCAATGATGTTGATATGTGTACCTGGACGTTTCCGGATCCGCTTCCATCTTCTCCAGGGTACACTCCAGGTCGGCGTATACGACAAACGGAACTTGTTCCTTCCTGTTGTGATTTTTAAAGGCCAACCACTTGTCGTTATCGCTCGGTAACTTGATCGCGCAGTCATTCATCTCCTGACAGTCGACGGTGTGGGCAGCCAATTTCTCGTTGGAGCTGAAGTAGTGCAAACATCTGCAAAAAAATAAACGCAAATATTATAAATTTTTTATACACAAAATATTCTATATATTATTAAAAGAACTATAGGTACTTACCGATCGCAAAAGTATTTCTGACCATGGTGTCGGTTGATTTGCGAGCTCACGAGGCGGGATAGGTTCTTGATCCACGCAAAATGTCCCACGTTGTCGTTATGCACGTACAGCAGATTTACGTGTCTGTCCATCTTTTGGTCAGTAACCCGTATTGGCAAGATAGCAAGTTTCTTGTTTTTTTTCTCGATGCTGTACAGGTTGATGGAGATGCTGTTATGATTTTCAAATTTTTTAATTTGATCCAACGTCATTGGAAACTCAATGTCCGTAAGATCTAGCACCGACGTGTAATGTGGATACGACGATTCCAGATCTGCATTTTTTTGGGCTGGATGTAGAGCAGCCGTCACTGACCATGCGAAACATGCATTGTCCATTGATCGCACGTTTATCACCGCCTTCTTCTTTTTAATTTCTTGCGGTATTTCCACAAAACACCCCGCGTGCAACGGATTGTATTTGTTCACGTTTACCATTAAATTGAGTATACGCGACAACGCCCATCCGCTATCACGTTCCTGGAATTCCTCCAGCTTTGCTAAGGTAGGCTCGATGACGTGTTGCTTGTACCACTCGTGCAGATCAGACTCACGAAAGACTTCATAGTTTCTCGTAGCGATACTTTTATTCGCGCGTTTGTCACCCGCAACAAATTCACCATTAAACATTGTGTTAATTTTTACATTGTCATGTCGTTGCATGACGTTCCGCACACGATCGAGTACAATTTCTCTCGCATCTTCGAGAAATTGACGAGGGTCGATGTGTTTGGAATTTATCACCGCACCAGTCAATATACGGCTTTCAAAAGCCGGATCTATCTCGCGCCATTTGAGTCCTGTCTCACTCGCACTGTATCCTGCTCCCACATGCACGAAACGTTGACGTACCAAGTCTTTCAAACCTTCGAGTCTTGCGATACAAGCGACCAATGACTGTTTGAGACCGATCGATAATCGCGGCCGTTTAATTCGGCTTTGTTCTTCCAACGATTCGATAAATTCGTCACATCGTTGCTCCCACGCGGTAAATTCTTCCCGCGAATTTAATAGGGTGGATTGCTCTAACAACTCTTGCTCCATGTTATTACACGATCCTCTTTCTAACACAATTTGTTGTGCTCACGACTTTCAATTCTCGACTACTGAGCGTACCCCCAAATTCGTCATTTTATATCTCACTAATGATGCATCATTTGATTTTTTAGCATATCTAATTTCACCATGATCTCAGCATCCGTACATTTGCGCTAACCGAAAAATTGCAAGATTTGCAGTTTTGCACGTGTTCGATGAAATCATCGCGAGACGCGTTGCGACATGTTCTTGAAAAAAGGTACCATGTCATTGACTTATGCGAAATTGCAAAATTTGCAGTTTTGCACGTGTTCGATGAAATCATCGCGAGACACATATGTTCTTGAAAAGAAATCATATTTGATGCCCGATGAGGTGATCTCATCACGAATGTTCTTGACAAAGATATCACATTTAACGTATATGTGGATTGTGGTGGGTCACCATGCAGCAGCCGTGCATTGGCGCTATTTTTGCAAGATTTGCAGTTTTCGGTATGTATAAATGGTCTACGAGGATTCTAGAGCGCAGTCAAGAGTTTGATACGGTTCGAGTACGTCGCAAACACTCTCCAGATACGATGAACACTTACGGTGCGAATTATTACGTTCCGATTGAAAATGAGTCGTGTACGAAACAGCATAATGAGTAAGTACCGTTATTTTGTATATAATTGTGCATAAACTGTTTACATACCTTTGCTTATTTATTTGTATTTTTTCAGTTTTGATAAACCCCGTTGTATGCCACGTATTTTGGGAAGGAGATTTGCTTTGACATCTACAGCTTACAAATATTTGGATGTGGGAATCAACGTGGGACCTATGTCCTTTGTGGATATACTTATTGGTGATAATCGAGGAAATCAGATAGTGTTACCCCATGCGACGTGGACGGCGCTCATCGAAAGACGTATGGATATTGAACAACTTTTGGAGTCAACTATCGGTTCTTCGTTATCGATTCACGATGCTGTTATAGAACTCGTAAAAATGCGCGATGCGAGTGTTGTAAAATTGACATCGTGCAACACCAGCTTGTACATGAAACCGTCAACTATGCTTTTCATATTCGAGCTCAAACAATGTGTCAAACATGAATATTTCAAGTTGTATCAAAATACGCATGAAGTAAATATGAAATTTAATCAATTTGTAACTATTTTACGGCGGAAATGTATCATCGACAGATGTAATGCGGCAAATATCTTGCGTGAAATTTATGATGAAAATTCAATTATTGATTGTGAATTATTAGCCTACGCTTTAGATACTATTGTGTATAATGCGCTACATGACAAATAAATAAGTATATTATGGTAAAAAAATTTAAATTATTTTTCTTTTTTGTTTACCGTTTCCTTTTGTTAAGTTGTCTTTATTTAATAATTTTTGCATAATTTTTGAACGAGAACGCGCGAGAGAAAGAGACCGCGCGAACGAGAAGACGCGCGCGACCTGGGGACGGGAGGGGGACATCTACGAGGGGGAGATAACGCGAGCGTGCCGTGTGACGTCACGCGGACTCCGCGGCGCGGCGAAACGCGAACGCGGGTCCCCTCGCCCCGCGGCGCCCGAAAACGCGAACGCTCCGCGGCGCGGTAAAAACGCGGACCCCCTCGCCCCGCGGCGCGGCGGAAACGCGGTCACCTCGCGGCGCTGGAAAACGCGATTCCCCCCTTCCCCGCGACACCGGAAAACGCGGACCCCCTCCTCCGCAACGCCGGAAAACGTGGTTTCCCCCTTCCCCTCCCCGCGGCGCCCGAAAAAACGCGGTTCC